AAAATCATAAAATACACTTAGAAAATGAATTTAGTATAGCATTTTGTATTTGTACAACTAAAAATATGAGCTTAACAATACATAAGAAAACAGTTCCAAAAAAATGAAATTTCCAACAGAGTGAAAAGAAGACTTATGAATTGGGAGAGATATCTTAGCCAACTATCCCTCACACAAAAAACTTCTACCTAGAACATATAAAGTATTAAAAAATAATCAGGCCCCCAAAATTCAAAGACTCTATCCAAAAATGGGCATCTGAGATGAATACACAGAAAAAATACAAATGGAAAATAAATTTATGAAAAAAAGTTCAGCATCAATAGTCATTTAGAAAATACAAATTAAAGCAACCTTGAGATTCCATCTAATCCCAGAAAGTATGGCCAAGATCAAGAAATCAACCAACAGGGGCTGGGGATTTAGCTCAGCGGCATAAGTGCCTGCCTTGCAAGCGCATGGTCCAGATTCCATCTAATCCCAGAAAGTATGGCCAAGATCAAGAAATCAACCAATAGGGGCTGGGGATTTAGCTCAGCAGCAAAAGTGTCTGCCTTGCAAGCGCATGGTCGTGAGTTCGATCCCTGGTGCCGATTTAAAAAAAAAAAATCAACCAATAACAAATGCTGGAGGGACTGCAGGGAAAAAGGAACTATTTCTTCTGCACTGTGGAAATCAGTGGAGAGAGTCCTTAAAAAGCTAGGATCAGAGATTCCATTTTACCCAGCTATTTCACTTCTGAGCATTTTCCCAGAAGAATTGAAAACATCATGCCACAGTGATATATGTGCACCCATGTTTATAGCAGTACAATTTGTAATGGTCATATCTTGGAAACAACCCAAATGCCCATCAATCAAGGAATGGATAAAAAAGATATGGTATTTTTATACAATGGAGTACTACTCAGCTATAAAGAAAGACTGCATTGAGGCTTTTATAAGTAAATGGATGTGACTTGAGACCATACTCATAAATGAAATAAATCAAACTCACATGTGTAAATACCATATTGTGTCTGTAGTGTAAAATACTGAAGAAGTATGTACAATCCAAAATCTACAATAAATACTGTGTAAGGGTAAGAAACTGCTCAAAGAGGCAAAATAATTAAGATAGAGGAAAGGAGGAAAGACAGGAAAAGGAAAAAGACATAAATTTGTGCATATATATATATATATATATATATACACATAAGGTAGCTAAAATGACTGTACTACTAATTGTATTCTTGGAAAGAAATAGTTAATACTCATATGATTAGATCAATTTTACATGTCTATATCTGTTAATCTAAGCAATTCTTTTGAAGGTAACAATATGCAATATTACAACCATTGTCAAATTCCTATCATCCTGTTTTGTAAGCCCATACTGTTATTGCATTGTGTTTGTTGTTGTCTCTGTTGCCTTTTTTTTTTTAATAAAAAAAGAAAGAAAAATCTTGGAGGACAAGTTTCACTGGGACAGACTGGCTCTGATCCTCCTCTATACTCTAGAGGAAATGTCAGGTCTGTTCTGCTTCAGTTTCCTTTCTTTGGCTTTACTTTCAATCATTTGTACTTTCCTTATGAGATTCGTGTAAAATCAGAAAGAACTCTACAGTCTGTTCCAACCTTTTCCTCCTAAGTTAAGTCCGTAGAAAATGAGCATTTGTTAATGCTGAAGACAGGGAAATCATCTTAGATGAGGGACACATACCCAATCTCTGGTTCAGATGTGACACAGAAATTTTGCCCATTCAAGAGAACACACATAGAAGCCATGTCTTGACTTAGTGTTCTGGGAAAGTCTCCTTTTAGAGACTGAACCTGAGACACAGTGGAAAGAAACAACTTCTGGGTGAAACCAGAAGGAGCTATTTCCAAAAGTAGCACACTTATAGGACCAAAATACATTTAGACTAACACAGCTCTCTAACCTTTCAAGTTGTGGACTTTAAAACCTTTAGTATCAACTTACAAAGCGCGAGGTATAATCTTGTTCAGGCTTTTAACTATCCCTTATAGAACTCTGGCAGACTGTGATTACTCTGCCAGCTAATTAAATGCTCCTATAGCAACTGCCACTCTGAGTTAAAGTGGAGGACAGGTTTGCCCAGTATCTCTTTGCTGAATCCACATTGAGCCAATGGCCAATGTAATGTTGACCAGAAAGACAGCTGGATTCCTTTCTGGAGCCTGACCTCTGGTTACCTGGGCCAATGGAAACTCAGAACAACTGAGGGTTCATGGCCAGGATGACTCTCTGGCAGATACCCAAAAGTTTCTCAGTGGAAACTGGCTCACGACCTCAGAAAATCTCCACTTATCTATCTACTTATATCTCTCTGCTAGTAAAGTAAAGATGTTCACCCAAACTCTTCAGGCAATTAGACTACCTCTCAGAAATTAGGTGGAGGTATCATGAAATGTTAAAAACCAGCCTATTGCTGGTTTGGCACATGTCTTTTTGTCCTTCTCAACTCTGGTCTTCCTTCAAGTATTATACCTCAATAAACAGCCATGAAAATATACCTTGCTTAAGCTGTAACTAAACTAAAATAACTTTCTCTTCACCCATTTTTTTTAGTTATGTCTAAAAGCCCAACTCCAATCCTGGAGAGATTTTATCCACTCTAAAAACTGTAATATATATAATATATTATATTCCATCTAATCCCAGAAAGTATGGCCAAGATCAAGAAATCAACCAATAATATATATTATTATTATATTAATATTATATAATATTAATTTAATACATAAATATATAATATAATATTAATACATATTTATTATATATAAATATATATGATATAATATATTAATATTATATAATATATATAATATATGGGTTGCCAACTAATCAAAATAAGGCTGAGATTGATTTTTACAAACACAGTACATATGTTGTTCATGTACAAAAACTTAAAAGAAACTTTTTCATTGGTCAAAATAATGTATTAATGTGGTTCTCATATGTTATCAAAAATTTAGATAATTACATGACAAAATGTCAAGCATCATCAATAAAGGAACCTAAGAGTCAATGGGTACTATTGCTAGCCCTTAGAAATACTTTCTAAACTTACCTGTCAGCTCTAATGCTCATACTTTGATTATACATGCCTTTGTATACATACTTTGATTATACCATGCCTTGATTAAAATTTGTTTTTTGCCTAAAAGGTGCCAAATGTCAAGTAATCATACAGATGAAACCAATAACAAATATGCTAGACTCCTTTTACTGGGATACACCAGATTTTGTCCAGAAAAGTTTCTGTTACACATATCAAGCCCTTAATTAACTATATTCAGTGGGCTTACAGTGACATCACAGTGACATCACAGCTGGTCTCTGTCTCCTAAATAAAAAAAGTAAAATTAATGAGACAGGTCATCCTCCAAAATGGCATGATATTAGACACTCTAACAACAATATTGGGAGGGGGATATTTGTGCAATTATAAAACCCAAATGTGTGCGCATTCCTGATCTACCTGCTAACATCTCAAGATATTAAGATGTTCAAAGATATTAGATGACAAATCAGTATCATGTCAGACTCAAAAATTTCTTGGACATTATCCTTATCCTCTTTATAGAAAGCCTTTACTAGCTCCTTTTGGTGAAAATCTTTGTTAACTGTACTTATAATTATCCAGCTGATTCTATTATTTGGCCCATGCACACTTAATTGTCTCCTTGCCTTTTTCTCTTCCAGACTTAAAGCTGTATGCCTACCCAAAATAAAAACACTTGGTGTCTACGGAGGACATTTAGATAGAGTCTCTGCAGAGTATTCCAGATTGGCAATCAATAACTACAACCCTTTTCAACCTGAAGAAGCCAGATTAGTCATTGCCCATTACTCCCTCGTGGCAGTTTGGGTTACTTCTTCAGAGGAGGAATTGTTATATAGACAGTTAAGATACAAATGTCATAGGCAGTCAGACAGGGCCGATTCCTTGAAGAAGCCAGTGCAGAAGGCCAGACATTTGGCAACTGTGGGGGAGACAGAACCTCCACTGTGGGCCAGATCTCAAGACAAAAAGGTAAGTCAATACACCCACAAACTTCCTAAGGGTAAGCACCACGAATTGATATTCTAAATAGGTCTCTATAACCCCGAGGAAGCCAGAAGTCGCCATCCCAACTCCCTACTGAAAGTCACTGTTCTGTATTCATGCCCGCTTGCTTCATGACTCACTTCCCTATTTGTCCCTCGTTTAATTTTACCTATACAATTAATTTTATTAGTTGAACAGCTATTTTGAAGAAAACAAGATATTATAATAGCCAATGCTGATTTAATATCATCTTGCTCTGAAGTCCTACCATGCTTTTGTTCGTTTCCATTGGTTCTATCATATTGTATCTTATTGGATTTTATTATGTTTGATATTATAAACAGATTTTCTATGGAAAATGAGATAATATAGTAGTCATTGTTCATTCTCCATTATTTGGTTCTGAATGTCCTGTAATATTTTCATTCTCTTGAATGGTTTTATACAATTTTGTTATGTTTGATACTATTGTATATGAAGTTATGCTCAACTATTTCAAAAAGAGAGACATTACGGTAATTACTGTCAATTACGGGTTGTCTTGTGGTGAAATACTGTGTTGCTTACATTGTTCTGTCCTGATTTGCTTTGTTATGCCCTCTTTTGTCTTAATCTCTTTAAAATAAAAAATAAATAAAATTTTTTTTAAAATCTTATTAGTTGACCATAGTTTTGTCCCACCTCATGCCCACCTTGTGAGTTTCCATGTTTTCCCCACCTGCCTCATTTTGTGGTTATACTCTAAAAAAGTCTATAGAAAAGACAAGAGTCTTTGGCAACCCACTCAGGACTTCTTCTGTGTCTCTCTCAAAGAAAAGCTTTCTTTCTCTCAATATATTTATTCTGCTCTAAAAATAAATACATATCTAAATAGCCTGGATTCCTTAAAATATAAGATATGCCACCTGACAAAGGAAAAGAAAAGATATACTTTAATGATACTCACATATTTCCTCCAAGAAGTTTTGAGTTGAGGGTGATGGTGACTGCACCAAACCAGACAATGACAAAAACTTCGGCAAATTGGGGCCCTCCATCTTTTTCACCATCCATAGAGCCTCTCTGCAACATTCTGAAATAAACAAACAGTATGATAATTGTCTAATATTTTACTTACAGCAAAGTGAAGGTATGGAATCTCGACCTCTGATGCAAAGTGCTGTGCTGTACCTCTGAACATCTATGATATATAGGTCACACTGAAAGGAAAATGCTGAAAATATTTGGTAAGACTTTCTTACTTCAAACTCCAAATACATTCCAAATTCAGGAGTGCAACAGGTGCTCCATTTGACTTTTCTGAAATGTTTAATGGATTACTGAAGACCTTTTAGTTTGAGCAGAGATATAACCTGAAAGGTAGGGAGAGGGGGCCAAATGTGGTTTGCAGACAAAGCTCTTGGTTCATACAATAATTCAAATAGTTTTTACTTTAATATGACATTAGTTTAAAATTGGGAGGTTTCACATATGTAATTCCTGGGCTGTGATTGTTACCTCAGTGGTAAAGTACTTGCCCAACATGCATGAGGCCATGGGTTTGATAATACTACAAAGGCAGGGAGATAGGGGAATACATATTTATTGATTTTCTTGAAAATCTAGATGACTTTCTCATGTTGAACCTGCATTCTAATATGGCAACAGTCAGATGCAACTGATCCAGAAGCAAGGGCATTCAGGTTACTTCTCTATTAGACAAATCTGATTTGTAATTCTTGAAGGTAAAAGTTTTAGGTCAGATACTTAAAAATGGAAATAGTGTGTAAACTTACTTAGTTGCCTTTTGTGTTTGGGTGGGTACTAGGTATTGAACCCAATGTCTTCTCACTGAACTATATCTCCAGTTCTTTTTGTATTCTTTTTTTTTTTTTTTTTTTTTTTTGTCTTTTTCCTTTTTATCAGTGCCGGGGTTTGAACTCACGACTGCCTGCTTGCAAGGCAGGCGCTTATGCCGCTGAGCTAAATCCCCAGCCCCTCTTTTTGTATTCTTTTCAAAATTTTAAGACAGGGTCTTGCTAAGTTTCTAAGTTGCTCAGGTTGGGCTTGAACTTGCAATCTTCTTGCCTTACCCTCCCAGAATGTTGTAATTACAAGTATGTATCACTGTACCTAGCCAGTTGCTAATTTAACATACAAATAATTAGTGACTTTGCTTTGAAATTGAGTAGTTGAATAGCCACTTAAATATTCTTTGTCTAATAATTTTACAGACATAAAAAGCTTTCAATACTGGATTTAAAATACTTGGACTTGGGTTTTCTCCAGAAAAATGATAAATAATAAAGAAGTTCAGAATCTTGTCTTATTACATCATATGGAAAAGTCACACAGTAAGTCTTGGCCAGCTATGCTGCTTGCCAGTATGTATAGAATTTTATATTCTACAGCTGTGCATATTCCAAGTCTTGACAATCAGATACAAAAGATTATATCTCATTTGTTGTCTGGAATTCCACTGCTTTAGCATGGTATGATGTAAGGAATATTAAAATAGTCTGAAAGGCAGGAGACCCAGACACTGATCCTAGTTCTGACAACAGATGTCTTAGGACTCTGGTTTTCTCTACAAATAATTAAGCTTTAAGAGTTTCTAATATAAACCCTTCCATCAATGCACTGATCTGATTCCTTGATATGGTTACTAAAGGAATAAGAAAGGACTATTATCTAAATTAGCATATGCTCAATTTAAACTGAAAAATCAGGGCTGGAGATTTAGTTCAGTTGGTGGAGCACTTGCCAAACATGTGCAGGCACTAGGTTTGATGGCCAGCATGGTAGAAAAAAATTAGAAGGAGCTGAGGATGCTGGGGATGTAATGCACTGGTAGAATGCTTTCCTAGCATAAAGGCAGCCCTACTTTGTTCCCAAGCATCACACATACACACAAACAAATACAAAAACAACAACAACAAAAAAAAAAACTTAAAGAACCAACTTGTTGCAATTACAACTGTAAAGAATTAGGCCTGTCAACCACTTCCTTTTACAGATATGGAAAAAGAGACTCAGAGTGTTAGGTGCACAGAAGAGTAATGACAGAGGTAGAGAAGGCAGTCAAAAACCTGAGGTTGAATTTTAGGTCTAGCACTGATTATATTATGTCTTGCTTAAGTCCATGACCTCTCTGAATCTGAGCTTATTTGTCAAAAAGGGAAAATAACACTGTATTATTGTAAAGTAAAAGACAGTATTTTAAAATTTTCTGTAAAGAGGAAATAATAATCACTTTACAAACTTCAGTTATTAGTAACGCAAACACACAGCTGATAGAGCCTGGATAACCAGGAATCCTAGTATTTTTTCCACTCCATCAGTGGTGATATGCTCCTATCCAATGGAATCTTGCTCCCGTCCCTCCTCCTTTGTATACACCATGTATGGGAAAGTGTAATAGTCTGAGACACGTTTTAGCTTTAACTCTGCCACTTATATTCTAATTTATTCTCGTTCATATTTTAATAAGACTTAAAGAGAATTAATTACGTTTGTAAATAAACAATGTTTAAACACCTAACGATTGCATTCACTTGATTTAATGATGGGAAGATATAGGAGAATAAATAAATATTTGTTGAATAGACATGGCTAAACTCGACTAAGAAGTCATTGTAAACAAAAGTGGCTATACTTTTCACATCTTTAATTTCATCATTTTTAACTGATTCTTGACTTTTGCCATTAAATATAGAAGGAGTACACAAAAAGCTAAGATCTCCAGTGAGTCAGCACTGTGTGAGGACTGACTAGAAGAGAGCCAAACGCCAGCCCTCTCCACTCTCCTTTGAGTCCGTGCCTGCAGGAAAGGAAAACAAGAAATCAACAAGAAGCTAAGCCCACCTGTCAGTTGGTGAGATGCGCAGGTTGACTGGGGGTCAGCCAGATGCCAACCCCTTCTGGTACATGCGCAGGGAAGACAAGAACCACCAACTTTCCCTCTCCCTATAAGCAACTGATCCAGAGAAACACAGCCTGTGATCATAGCTAATGTGGTAAAATACAACTTAATGCTTGTAGTGTTTAGTTTTTCATTGACTTTGCAGGCCTAAAGCCAGTAGACTGATCATCTATTAAGAGGATAATAATGTGCAGTATAGCATACATGGGCTATCGCCTTCTGCAGGTGGTAGCTATTATTAATTCCCTATTATCTTGTTTCAAAATCCTGTGTCATTCTCATTGTTTTGTTTGGTTGGGTTTTATCTTGTTTGATTTTATGATATCTGATGGCATGGGCAGCTATTTCGAAGATAAGAAGACACAGCATGGTAGCCATTTTGGATTTACCATTATATTGTTTTGAAGTCCTGTATTGCATTCATTGTTTTATTTTTATTGATTCTATTTTGTTCTGTTTTGTTTGATTTTTACTGTCTGAAGGAACGGGTAGCTATTTTGAAGACAAGAGGCATTATGGTAACCAGGGCTGATTGCCTATTATCTTGTTTTGAAATCCAGTGTCACTTATACTGTCTTGCTTTGATTGGCTTTATCTGTTTTATTTTGCTTGGTTTTATTCTCTTTAAAATAAAATTTAAAAAAATACACACACACACACACACACACACACACACACACATATATATATGGAGTACATAAGCCACAGAAGACCTAACTGAAATATTTAGTCAAAATTCCCAACTTTAAAACTCCACAAAAGTCTAGTCTAGCTCAAATGACAAAGGAAATATAAATACTCACAATGCAAGTGTCACACAAAGGATCAGGGGGCCCCATAAATCCCCTACAAGGCAAGGAAAGACAAAACTCTACTAAGAAACATATAGGTAAGCATTTCTATCCTTATTCCAATATCTACCTCCCATTCTTTGAATCCAAACACCCAGGCTCTCTGTCGGCCCAAGTCTTTTCATCTCTCCTGTTTCCCAGTTACCCCTTGTTCTCTAATTCAGAATACAGTTTTTCATATATTCCTGAAGTTTTGCTCACTTCATATCCCACAAATCACCCCTCTCTCTACTTACTAGGCCACATTCCAACATGCTGGAATTAAAGACCAACAGGCCAGCAGTTAGAAGAACTAGGTGTCCCAACCCACATCCTCAGAAAAAAGTTCACACCAAAATCATTTCATCAACATGAGGCTGTATTAAATAGACAAGACAAAAATTTGTGTTCATTTCACAAATACAAAACATGGAATTGAGCAGGAAGCAACTTGCCCAAGTATATAGGTACAGATGGACTCAGAACTTAGGTCTGTTGGTTCTTAGTTCAAAATTTTTGCCACTCTCCCAGACTGCTTCCCTTTTATAATTATTATATGGAGCTAAAAGAATTGGTAATCTTCAAGGGCTGGGGATTTAGCTCAGCAGCATAAGCGCCTGCCTTGCAAGCATACAGTTGTGAGTTCGATCCCCAGTACCGATAAAAAAAAAAAAAAAAAAGAATTGGTATTCTTCTTTAAAAAATAGCCCAATATTGGTAATTTTACAAGGTTAAACTTTAACAAATAACATGGGCGAGCTTTCTGAAACTATAAAATGCTCTGCCAACATCAGAACTAGCAAACAGTGACCCTCAGTCAATAGCTGCTGAGTGGTTAGTATGCTAACAGTTCAGCAACACACAGCTTTAAAGCAAAATTATGTTCTTGAACTAAGCCAAAAAAAGTGTATACATCCAACATCTAACTTGAATCTCATATGTACCTATCTTTACCTGAGGCAAGCTTAACTTTCTTTTTAGTTATATAAGTAATTTTGACACCAACATGGAAATTTTGGAAAAGAGATAAAAAATCATAATCCTACTACTCTAATAATTATTGACCTTATTAAATTCTAACAGTAATTGAAGTGAATTCAAGTACAATGATATTAATCCAACTTTTAATGCCCTGAAGATTTAATTTATAAAAATCTCTAACTATTTTGGCTCTTTTTTGTTAATTTATCTCTTTAACCATTTGTTATAAAATATATAACACAAAATTTTATCACTTTAACCATTTCTAAGTATAGAGTTAAGTAGCATTAAGTGCACTCACACTGTTGTACAACCATCATCTCCATCCCTCTTCAGAACTTTGTCATCTTTCCAAATTAAATTCTAACTCCCCATTCTTACCCTTACAAAAGCCTCTGGCTACCATAATTTTATTTTCAATCTCTATGAATCTTAGTCTAGGTACCTAACAGTATCATATGTGTCCTCTTATGCCTGGCTTATTATCACTTAGCAAATTCTGATTAACATTCAATACACATATGGTATATACCATGGAATACTATATTTTATCAGTGGATGCTTCGGTTGTTTCCACCTTTTAGCCGCTGTGAATAATGCTGCTACCAACAGAGGTATATAACTATCTGATCAAGTCTCCACTTTCAACTGTTTTGGGTATGTATCTAGAAATGGAATTACTGGCTCATCTGGTGATTCTATGTTTAATTTTTTTGAGGAAATGCTGTACTGTTTTTCACAGCAACTGTACTATTTCACCTTTTCGCCAGCAATACAAAGGGTTCCAATTTCTCCACTTCCTTCTCCACACTTGTTACTTACTGTTTTCTTCATAATAACTATCCTAATGGGTATAAAGTGATCCCTCATTGTGGCTTTTTTAAAAAAAGAAACTATTTTTAAGTCATGAATTTCCCCTCTGCCACTTAGCCATGGGCTGTGATAACAAAGTAGGGCAAAAACACGAAAGTGCAAATGTCTAGTTATGACTCACCCTTTATGCCAGCCTATCTTTCTTTTCCCACAAGGTTTAGGAGTAGACATTCATATATTAAATGTCTAATATACAACATTAATTAGTTAATGCACATCGCTAATTAGTACATTGGTTCTGAACTGTGACTAAAGCCACCATGCTCTGAACTGAGCCACAGTAGCAATTGAAAGGATAGCTTCACATCTGGGACAGCAGTAGTAAAGTAGAAAGGGTACTGAACTTGAAAACTGTATTCTAATCCTGCCTATGAGATCTTGACACGTCACTGAGTTTCTCTAAAACTTATTTTCTTATATATAAAACAGGAATAATAACTTTCACCTCACAAGGTGGTAGTAAGGATTAAATAAGATAAAATGCGTGTAGTGAGGGGGAGGCACTACAATAATAGCTACCATTTATGGAGTACCTAGTGAATACCAGATGCCATACTAAGTGATATACACATGTTGTCATCTCTAATTCACACCTTCAAGATACAGGTTATTAGTTCCACACTTTAACAGGTGAAGAACATTGTGCTCCCAAAGAGTTAACTGTCTTACTCAGATCACAGACCTAGTCATGGAACTACTATTCAAATCGATTTGCCCATGCTTTTTCCACTGCATCAATGATAGTATCATGGTCTTTATCTAGATGTCCCCCCAAAACCCCATGTAATCATAGGTGGAGCTTTTTCAGAGATGGCTGGACCTAAGTGTGTGACACTGGAGTTGATTCATGTTACAATGCTAGGCTGAAGAGGGCAATAAGACTGAGTATGACACCTATCTGCCCAAAGTAGCCAGGACAAGATAAAAGGGGCAGAAAGAGCTGTGGTCATGCCTTGCTTACTGCTTTTGCTGCCTTCTGCCTACTATGAACTGTCTCTCCTCTGTGATCTCCCTCTGCCATGCCATCCTGCCCTGGAGCCAACCAACTATGAACTGAAACCTCTACAAATTGTGAGCTAAATAAACCTCTATACCTTTAACTTTGAGTGTAGGGTATTTTGTCCCAGCAATGAGAAAACTAACAAAGAAAACCACCCTTAAGTCATGTGTCAGCTCCAATTTAAATTTTGAATGCTGCCTTCTGTCTACAGAGAATAAAGGCACACTTGCCACTTACTTGATATCCCTGTATCACAGCTGACATGTTGCTGAAATAGACAGTACACTCATGCATGACACCACTGTTACTATTCTCAAGCAAATGATTTTTCTGATAAAGAATAAAAACTGACTGCATGAAAAGAAAGATGAGAAACCTAATGATTTTAAGAAAAAATTCTAAGAATGATTTACTGTAGTTTTGATAGAACTCTAGAAATTAATCAGACTAAATGATAGTTTTGAAACAGAAATATCAATAAAGGTACCATTAATTTATTAACCATTAAAAGGTATTTGGTAGTATACTAATTTAGCATTTGTTTTTCCCTTGCAAATCATTAGTTCTTTGGTTGAACAAAGCATATTCTAGAGCAGTTGAGGGTAAACAGTCTTTTATTTGTTGATAAAGATAATATAATAAGCAAAATATTCTAACCTCTAAATTTCAATCTAAATTTCTTCCAAAGTTTTCATTCACATATATGTATTTTCATTTTGCAAAATGACACCAGTTTTATTATATTAGAGCCTTTGCCTTATAAAGTACTAATGGCAATGTACAATGAGATGAGGCAAACTCTCAGAAGTTTCATATACTTACAATCTCTCAAAAGAGTGTTACTTTTTCTAGGATATAAAACATACATGAATTTTTTTCCAACAGCTTTTAGATCACGCATCTGAAAGACACAAACAACTTGTTATACTGCAGTGACCAAGGTTACCAGATAATCACTTCACTTAATTTACTAAAAATTCCTTTTTTTCAATCTCCTAGAAGTTGGCTTTCATTGAACTTTGGTGTTTATGCCAGTTCAACTCTTTCACTATACAAATAAACCAGAGTTGAGAGTATGATTTTTCTATTAACTCAAGTCATTAGATAACATTTTTTCACAACTAACAGCTCTATTTTGACTTTGAAAACTCTGTAAAGAAAGAATCCTCCCAATATGATATTTAGAATAATATCATTATGAAAAGCTGCTATGCAAAATGCAGAATGTAACATTCAGCTCAAACATGATTAGGTACCAAAGGCCAATTAGTCTGCTCCCTAGCTACCATATTCTTTGTAACACATAAGTTCCAACATTCACAATTTAATTGATAAATGAATCAGTCAAGACATTTGAGGAAGGATTCAGTAGTGCAAATGTAACTTCTCAAAATACAATGGAAACGATTCAATCCTAGATTTTAATTTTTAATAGTTATTTGACCCTTGCAAGCAGGCAGTCGTGAGTTCGATCCCTGGTACCGATAAAAACAAAAAAGACCAAAAAAAAAAATAGTTATTTGACATTCTATCGGATGTACATAATACATTTAACCAATATAAGTTGTTTCCAACTTTCTTCTATATAGAGTTCATTACACTATAATGAACACCTTTGCATTGTATTTTTCTGTTAAAATTATACTTAACTTTTTAATTTTTTATTATGCAATAGAGAAGTAAAATCATTTTAAAATTTTGAACATTTTAAGATTCTTAATATCCACTGTAGCCAAACTGCTCTTCAAAGACTGATTATTTTCTAAGAGAGAATCTTAAACTTCAACAAATAAAATATAACAAACTCAGTGAACAAACAAAATATTGCAGTTATTTAGTACTGTGACATTAAAGAGAAGCTCTCTTAACTAGTCTAACTTACGATAGTATTCCGAACAGATTCATTTAATGTGGAGCTGTCAAATTCTCGACTGCGAGATCTCATAGGAATGGTGATTTCTCCTTCTATTGGGATATCTTGTGAGATAGATATATCTGAAAGGCCTGCAAACTGAGAAGTAATAGAGGGAAAAAATTAAATCTATGCACTTGAACATTCCTCAAAGACATCATTTCCTAGAAAAGTGAACACGTAGGGTTTTACACAGTAGTTACCATAACAGATATTGAACAATTCAGTTGAAAAAATAATGAAAATAAATGCCATAAATATTTTCTTGCCCCCAAATATTTAGTTTCTTTCAAGCATGAGATCCCTAACTGATATAACCTAGTAATAAAAACATAATAACTGCAGAGCTATTGAAAAATTATCATGCTAGAAATGCTGATTTCTATTGCACTTAGGTTCCTTAGTGGCTTTAGTGGCCTCTGCTGGATAAAGAAGAGTATTACATGAAATGTAAATGAAAACAGAAATATAAATACCTTGATTTACATTCTTTTTACCAGGCTCCCTGGCAACCACAGGTGATCTGGTAAATAAATTTAAAGGTGAATAAAGAATGTAAATTGTTAAACTCTTATGATCATCTGCTAAGTGTGATTATCATGACCAAACTCTAGACATTACAAATTAAAAAAAAAAAAAAAAAAAAAAAAAAAAAACAGAAGTAATCCTTTCTCATACAGTTTTGGGCCCAGTGGGGACAATCTTTATTGGGCAACTGGTGCTGATAAATAAAACACAAAAAAGTACAATAAAATCTTAGAAAAAAATGAGGTTGCTCAAAAAAGCAAGGTTGTATCAAAAATAACTTCTCAACCATGTTCATATTTTTTAAAACACACTGAACAATGGGGGCTGGGGATTCAGCTCAGTGGCATAAGCGCCTGCCTTGCAAGCAGGCAGTCATGAGTTCGATCCCTGGTACCAATAAAAAAATAAAAAACGCATTGAACAAGCTCTACATTTTTTAAAGGTTTCCTATGGAAAAAAGGAATGAAGTGGTAGAGCATAAGACAGGCTTCTTTGAATATACATTGTTCTCTGTATATGACTTAAAATAGTTCACATGATTATGAAATAAAATTGAAATTTAAATGAAGCCATCCCTGAAACAGAAATCTTAAACAAGTAAGTCTATTGTATAGTAAATTAAACACACAACCACTCAAAGAACTACTTCAAATGATTTCTAACGCTATAATTTGACTTCCAACCACATAGAGCAAGGTGAAAAGCACATTTCCTTACCAGAGCAATGAGAAAAGACTAGATAAACTACAAAATCATAATTTTCGTGGAAGCTATCAGAGATCTGAGAGGGTAGGGCAACCAACCAGCCTGCATGTGAACTACAAGGAAAGACACGTGCCTCCAAGAAGAGACAGGACATCTGTATTGTACCGACAAGTCAACTGTACTTTCCATGAGAAGATGAAACTAGGCACTACACAGATGGAGAAGAATTCGGCTAAAATTTTAATAAATTGCTAAAGGTCAGTACAAAAGTAAGGAACTCTTGAAAGGAACAGACTCAAGGAGGGCTCACAGTCACTTAGAGGAGAGGTGGTGGTGGTGAAATATGGCACATGTGCCACACTAGGCTGTTTGTATCATTGAAAGCTCTAAATAAGGTTCACCATCACTTAGCTGGGAGCTTCAGAAGAACAATTATGAGACCTAAGGCCAAAAGCAGGCAACAAATAACATTTAGAAAAACACTGTAAACAACCAAGCACCCACCCTAAATTTAAGGTAACAGTAGAGGAATTTCAAACTAATGATGCCTTGAAAGTACTCTTAGCAAAAACAAGAGACAAGTGTTAATTCATTTAATCCACTAATAATCCAATAAACTAAGTATTGTTGTATCTGGGATAACAGGCACAGCAAGTTTACTAATTTTCCCCAATATTCCAATTTCCTCAAGTGACAGAGATTCAAATCAAACCTTAGAATACACTTTCCTAACCATAGTTTCTTACTGCTCCCCTGGTTCAGTAAGCCTACATTTTAAGGGTTGTCTCCTAACAATTCCCCAGGCTTTTGCCAAAGTGATGCATGTGTTGTTCTATAAACACATTAGCACTTTCCAATCTCTATGCCATTGTCTTTGAGAAGCTAAGTAGCATAAGTGGAAATAGTGAAGATTTCAGTTAGACCTAGGTTCAAATTTTTCCCCTTGCCATTAACTGGATGCAGCAGATTCTAGGCAAGCTAAATTCCTTTGTATCTCATTGCTTCATCTGTAAGTAAAACACAGTTACATGTCAACTAACTCAAATAGTCTCTGTGAAATCTAGAAATTATGCAGAGGATGTTTAGCTCAATGTGTGGCAAACAGCAAGTATTCAATCATTGGTAACTCTTATGGTCACTTGGAATTTCAAATCATACTAATCATTTGAGGCCCTTTCAATATAACTTCTGCCATGAAGCTTGATTGCCTCTACCGGATATAATGCATTTTCTTTTTAAATTTCCCTAATATTTCATGAGTAATTTTCTCTTATGTACAGTCTTACTTTAGCAGTGTATATTTGTATCATCCCCACAAATCAGATCATAAGACACAGGAGCAAGACCTTTGTATTCCCTATTTGTATTCCCTATAGCAATAAGCACAGTGCATTATACATTATGGAAGTTCAAGAAACATTTGTTGAATAGAATATTGAGTAATGAGTGATCAGAACCACTGAATGAATTCACGAAAGCTTCATGGAAAGTGATGGGGGGGGTACAAAAAAAAAGAGCTAACTGTTAAACAGCCAGGCATCTCTAACTACATCACGTTATGCACTTTTTGTATATTAGCTCAGTCAGTCCCCTCATAAATCCTGTGATGAGTTTCTATCACTATTTTCCAAATAAGGACCTAGGTTTCATTCTGTATGTTAAGCTAGGTCTACACCCTTATCCCCCACCTCATTTTTTCATTGTTATGTTCCCAGTGGACAAAAAAGTGCCTGGGGCAAAATGGGTGCTTCATAAATATTTGCTGAATGAAAGAAGTGGTGAACAAATAGAGCTGGGAAACATCAATTTTAGAATGAAATTCTCCTGACCCATAGTTCAGTTCTCGACTATTTAAAATAGAGGAAACGGAAATACATTTATTGAGCAAGTACTACATAACTATACACCATTTGGGAGTAGAGACATTGGGGCAGAACACTGACTTAGACTTCTCAGTTCATGACACTGACTGTACTAGACACTTCACATAAATTAGGTCAACTGATTTTCCTAAAAACTCTTTGAGATTAGGATTCTCATCTCCAACAAACTATGAAGAATCACCTTCCATGAAATGATCTGCCCAATACCATACAAGTGATAGAATGGGTAGATTCGGCCTAGTTAAGTTTAACTGTAAAACCTGTGTTCTCTAATAGTATGAGCCTTGGACTTTGTACGGGTAATAGAAATTCTGTCCCCTTCAATAGAGTATTCTGATGAGGATGGCAAGGAGCTAGGATGAAACCGCCTATTGGGGCCATTTAACAAGTAAAGACTCAAGGTATAAGCAATGAAATGTCAACGTTCAAAGAGAAACAATCCCGCCTTACTTCTGGAATGCTGCTGCTCCAACAAGGGCTGGTGAGCAGCTGTGATAGTATCAGGGGAGAGTGAAAGAAAAGATATCATTTAAAGCTCTGCGTTTAACACAATGTAGGAGACGAAGACAAGCCCTGCGAGTATGGGACAGCAAAGAGGTGAGACGTTTCACCAGAAGACTAGGCACGAAGTGCGGAGGGGAAAAAGCTATTACCCACAGAACAGGTGCTGTGTTAGGACCGGTTCTAGCACTCGGTACAGCAAAGGCCTTTCAGGAGAAGAGGCTCCAGCTCTTTTGGGCTACAAGCCCGTCCCCCGACTTCCTTAGAGGGCACTCTGCGTCACCCTCGATCCCATCTGTCGCAGTTCCCAAGCTCACCAGGGGCCTGGGCGATACTGTCTCCCGATCCCCGGGAGACTCCGCCGCTTCCGCCATCTTGGCCCTCCTCTCCTGTGGTTCCCACAGGCCTTTGCGGAACCTGAAACGTGGAGGCCGCGTAGGCGGCCCGGCATTGCGTCATCGCGCTAGTTCCGCGTCACGGAAAGGCGCCAGGCAAGGGCTAGTAACCCCGGATGGGTCTCTGTGTCTTCTGCAGTCCCTGGGTCTCGGGCGTGGAGGGGAGACTTCTGCTCAGCCCCCCTAGACACGCTCTGCCCTCAGAGCTCAACGCAGATTTTCCGATCTCTATGTCGGTCCCCGGATTGCGACTCCCTTCCCTGCCGACCCTACACCCATTTCCCGTCCTCCAGAGTTGGCTCCTAGCTCCTGGCTCCTTAGCACTTCCCAGAAAAATCGTGTTCCCTCTCTCACCTGGCTGCCTACAACAGACTTGCTTCTAACAAAAGGACAGCCCTTCGCTGACCAACCTTCGCTGTCGCCCCCGCCTCACTTTTTCCCTTCGCTTCCCATCCTGCTACCTAGCCGCCTCTACCACCGTGACTTTTAAAAACCTCCATACTGTCTGCATCAACTCATTAAAAGGAAGGAAGGGAAAGAAAAGAAAAGGAAAACCTGGTAAGCCCCAACCTCATCCTAGGGCTTTCACGGCCGTCTCTGGCTCCCACTTCAGTTCATGGCCTCATGTTAGGTGAGGTCAGACAATCCAACCATTGTTGATGCTGTCAGTATTCGGGATACCCAAGTGCCTTTTGGGGATGTGAGTACTGGACTAGCTTAAGCGTTTAACCAACATGATAGGAAATGGGTTTGAAATAAAGTCCTTTATATTTTTACATAGTCAATCGAGGAAAGCACCCAAGTACTGTGGTAAACATGAGGAAAAGTATGGAGGAACAAAATTTCAAAACTTTATGGAGCTTTAAGTGTTGTTACAATATTTCTGACCTGAATCGTTTCCTATGCTTGCACAAGTACTTGTGGACCTGCCATTAAAATTTAGGCCAGTATATTGGAAACCTTTTTAAAAAAAAGTGACTGTTGTGTTCCAAGCCCAGCCTAGGCCTTCCTCCCCATTCTCCCCCTACTTTCTCCTTTATTGTCCATCACTAAGTTCCCTCCCACTTCCCTGAAGCCCTTGATTAAAATAACCTCTTCTATTCCTTGCCAACTTCTAAAATTAGTTATCTCTCTCTAACCACAGAACCTCAACTTCGCTGCCCCTAATTTCATCTCTTGACCTCTTAACCACTTATTTTAAGATAACCTTTTAGAGGAGAATGCACCATAAAACAGCCGTCAAACCAGTGTTCAGGTTATAGACTGTCAATACTCATTTCCTTCATGTAACCAAAAGGATACTGGTTGGTTGTCATGCACTAAAAAAGAAACACAGGTAAGAGGCTGAATAGGAACAAACTGCAAAAATAGAAAATATTCCGCTTTTAGTTGCAAATACATCTCATAAAATTACCAAAATAATTCAGTATTCTTTAATATAGTTGCTCATTACCTTCTATCAGAACATAGACATCTCCAGTGCAGGAAGACTTAGCCAAAGTTGCTTGTAAACTTTGTAGTACAAGTGGGATAAATATTTAAACCAACAGGCATAGAGAATTTTATTGATTGTTCTAAATTTCAAGTCATAATGTAAAACTTTGAAAATAACAAAAATATTGAGGAAATAGTTTCCTAAAAATAGTCAAAATTGACTCAAGAAAGGAATTTTAGTCGGACAAAATTTTTGAATGAAAAATATAAAAATATATAAAAATCAAGATACTGAACAAGTTTTATAGTTTGGGTTAAAAAGTACGGGATCTGGAAGTAATGAATTGTTCCAGAAAGAATGCATCTCAAAAAACTGGTAACTGGTTTTCTCTGGAGAGAGAAAATGAGGGTCTCTGGCAAAATGGGGATGAATAGACTTTCAAAGTAGGACTGGCCCTTTCTATGACTGGGAGAACTATACATTGTGGATCATTCATGCAGATTGAAATGTGTACCATGCATATGTGTGTTACTTTTTTAAATTGCCATAGATCTACCCTCCCCACCTCCACCAAAGTGCTACACAAAGATGGTTTCACGGGCCATTTATTCACACCTTCAAAGAATAAATAATTCCTTCACTATATAAATGTTACCAGAGGAGAATTTGCAAAGCTAGAAACCTAATGCAAACCTAATACATAGTATTAAATGCGACAAAGTACTAAAAAGAAAACTTTTTTGTTGTGATTTTAGGTACCTGGGATCAAACTCATGACCTTGCACTTGCCAGACGGGCATTGTGCCACTGAGCTAAATCCTCACCCATCGGTCTCATTAACATAAGCAAATAAAATTTTATTAGCGAATAAAATCTGCAGAATAAAAAAATAATAATGCCCAGGATCAAATAGAGTTTTTCTTACAAATATAAAGTTAGTTCAAAAGCAGGTAACACAATGATGATAATGATCATTTTAATGAGTCAAAAACATTCATCATTTTGATGCTGAAAAATTCCACTTTCTTATCTGGAAACAAAAACATAAGTGAAATAGGCCTACAAAGCTACTTATTTAACATGACAAAGAATATCTGTCTCCAAACCAAAACTAACATGATATAGCTGGCATTTCCATTAATGCCAAGCACAAGGCAAGAATGCCAGTATGTATAAGTATGTGTATGTGCGTGTGTGTTACTGGAGATTGAAGGTAGGGCCTTTGCACTGAACTACATACCCTACCCTTCCTTAAATTGCTAAATTGCCCAGCACAGGCTCAAACCTGAGCTCCTCCTGCCTCACTTCAGGAATGTACCACCACACCCCTGGAGATCACAGCTATTATTCAGCACTGTTCTGAAAATGATAAATAATGCTGTCTCCTCTTCTGGGGTCAGAGCCACCCTTGTCCATGCTTTCTAAGGTCCCAAGGCCAGTGGTCCCGCTTGATACTTCCTTCCATGCCCACTGGCTTAATCTCTCTCGAACACACAAACCACACTCCATCCCTATAAACTACTCATTTCCCACTTTCAGTATAGATACTTCCTTTTCTTGCCACTAGTTGCTTCCAAACTATACAACTTCTCTACATAAATACTCCATTCTTCCTGGTGTAAATATACATAGTTTCTCTGCCCTCCAGTCTCACCTAGTGACAAACCCTTCCCTACTTTCTCTATTTACCTCCACTTCTTTCCTTTCCCTATTCCTGCCCTGGCCCAGCTGACTCCTTACCCTATTCCTTACTCTTTTCACATTTTCCTGGTTTTATAATCATTTCTACACCAATCTCCAAGCTAATTTATCTCCCTCATGCATCCACCATATACCTCACCCCTGGATGTCCTCAGTGTTTCAGGCTCAAGATTGCTTCATCACTGGGCTAGGAAGTCAGGTTGCAAAGCAACTGTTGATGCAATCAGTATTCAGGTTATCTGTGTCCTTTTGTTACAGGCAACTGAGTTAGATAGAAATATTATAGGCGGTCAGACAGGGCCAAGTCCTCAAGGGAGCCAGTGCACCACATACCTTACAACCTTGGAGGAGACAGATACCTCTGCTGTGAGCCGGACCTCAAGACAAAAGACAAAACAAATGCAGCCATACCCTAAGTATAAACATCAAGGATTAATATTCTAAATAGGTATGGATCACCTTGAGTAAGCCAGGTGTCACCATCCCAATCCCCTACAGAAAGAGTCAATGCTTTTAAAGTATGCCTACTTGCAATGTGACTTGCTTCCCTGTTTGTCCCTGATTTGGTCAATTTTATCTGAACAATTAATCTTATTGGTTAACCATAGTGCTGTCCCATCTCATGCCAGCTTTGTGAGTTCCCATTTTTTCCCACTGTGGACCTGCCTTACCTCATGGTTTTGCTCTATAAAAGTCACTAGAAAAGACAGTCTTTGGCAAACCACTCTGGACCCTGTCTGTCTCTCTTCCCAGACAGAAGCCTTCTTTTTCTCAATAAATATATTTAGCTCTTAACCGCCATTCTTCCTAAAATTCATTCTTCAATTTTAGAGAACACAAACTCATACCAGATATCTAGTAGGTTGGGAGTTTCATTCCCCTATATCACTTTCAGATTAACATACACGTTCCCTGTTTATTTATTTTCTTTTATCAGTACCGGGGATTGAACTCACAACCGTGCACTTGCAAGGCAGGCGCTTATGCCGCTAAGCTAAATTCCCAGCCCCATATGTTCCCTGTTTAACCAACAAGGTAGGAAATAAGTAAAAGTTGAACTTGAATGCTCTGTATTTTTGCACAGGCATTCCGTTAAAATTCCCAAGTACATCAAGAGACAAAATTATGTGAAAGACATGAAAAAACAAGGTAAATATTGCCACAATATTGTTTTCAATTATAAATATATTCAAGAACACATAATATTGTATGCTCATATTGATCTCTTCAAATCATGGATATTCTCCATAGAACAATAATATTTGCTTTTTAATTTATAAAATTATATTGAAAAACTAAACGTCCTAAAAAATCAAAGCTTAATAGCAAAATGGATCATTTTCTATTTATTTTCATATACTTATACATTTATATGTATGAATATTCAGTTTTATTAATACTGTACCAAAATTTTATTATAAAAATATTCCAATACAGTATATGAAAAGTTGAAAGAATAGTAAGATAAAATGTGAAAATATATTATAATGAAGACGTATACACGGTACCTAGATCCCACAATTCGCCTACGACTATTTCTGCTTTGTCACATCTTTTTGTTTGTTTGTTTGTTTTGTTGGTTTTTTTGAGACAGTCTCTTTATGCAGTTCAGACTGGTCTCAAGCTCACTTTGTAGGCCAGGCTGGTCTCAAACTTGTAATGATATTCCTGCCTCAAGAACCCTGAGTGCTGTAATTAGAAGTGTGCACCACTATGCACAGCTCAGTCACTTTTAACTACCTATGAAGCCATTGATCCACTGATCTCACCCTAACTTGTTTTTCATACCTTTCAAAGGAAGTTTCAGGCATTAGCACAGGCCTAAGTGATTCAGCATATGTTGTTTTGAAAGGCTGGGGATTTAGCTCAGCTGCATAAGCACCTGCCTTGCAAGCAGGCAGTCCTGAGTTTGATCCCTGGTACTGATTTAAAAAAAAAGGAGAAGGTAGAACTGAGGGTGGTGGTACACACCTGGAACCTCAGCACTCTCAAAGACTGAGACAGGAGGACTGTATATTTGAACTCAGGCTGTGTAATTTAACAACTTTGTGACACTTCATCTCAAAATTTAAAAATACAACAATTTCTGGAATGTAGCTCAGTGCAAAGGCTCTAGGTTCAATCCCCAATACAACAATAAATAAATAAATTGTTGCGCTCACATATAGTGATAACCATGATATACTGAATGAAATAAAATCAGTTTATATCAGGGATAGTGGTGCACACCTATAATCCCAGCACTTGGAAGGTAGAGGGAGAAGGATCACAGCAAATTCTAGACTGCATAGTTAGTTCAAGGCCAGCCTGAACTACACAGCAAGGCTTTGTCTTAAAAAATAAAATAAAATAAAAATAGACAACAAAAATCAGCTTATAAAAATATTATGTAAATATAAGGATTAAGGGACACATAAGAATT